TCGGAATTCACTGCTGTGCCATTACCTGGAAGTGACATGGGCCAAGTGGGCACTGCACACTCCACCCAGGGCCTTGTGCACAGGCCACTGCACACTGGTCCCAGCACTAGTAATTTAGAAGACACTGGAACACATGGAACGGTAACACCCTCCTTCAGAGGGACAAGGTGTTCGTTCAACACTGTGACTCTATTCAAAGCCCTGACCTCAGATGCACGTTGCAGGCTGATTTCAAAACTATTAGGAGAGAATGAGATTTAAAACACCTCTGTTCCTCCTCTTCTCTGTTGGTCTCAGTTTCTTCCTCATCTGATTCTGGGCAGGGAGGCATTTCCCCGGGTCTGTCCTCTAGCGATAGTCTCCCCAAGAACTAAATTTTCTCTGGGAGTTTTAACTTTAACCTATATCTACAACATTCTTGAAATCTATAGTGTTAACTTTAACCTCTCTCCTGAGATCCAAGTTTGAATCCCAACCATTTTCCTCACCTCTGCCCTCAATATTCCATCAACACCCCCTCAATATTTTATCAGCAGGGCCTCGATATCCCAACAGCGCCCCTTAATATTGCATTGCTTTAAACTCAGTGTGGCCCAGACCGAATAAATTACCTTCTCCCTTCTAAAAACGCTTCTCTCCAATTCCTTTTCTATTTTCATTAATAATACTCTATTTTTGGAATTATATGGGTTCTTAACCTTTGAATCACCTTTCCTTCCTCATTCCCTCTCTCCTTTAATCCTTCTACCTTGTGGACAAATGAGACATGCAACCACACTTACCAAGTGTTAACACGATTGTACTAAGCCCTTTACATGCCATGATTACTTCATTTAGTCCTCTAAGTAGCTCTATTATGGCTGTGTTGTTTCTCTTATATTACCACTTTAGAGATGAAGAAAATGAAGGTCAGAGAGGGTCATTCATTTGTCTCTGAGCTCCACAGCTAGAAAGTGGAAGAGCAGGGATGTGCATCCAGGTCTGTCTTATTGCAAAGGCTCTGCTCTCAATTTATCTGCTTTGCTGCCTTCCAACCATAGGCCTCCCTGGGGGCCTGGTGGAGGCATTTAGCAAAAGTCAGTCCTTTGCCTTCACAAAAACAGAGCCAGACAATAGCTGGGGCTGGGCGGATGCTCTGCTTCAGGGGTCAAAGAAGACTTCAGAATAGGGAATGTGAGGAATGAATACTCCTGTGTGGCTGAAGCATTAGGTATGAAGGAGAGAAAAGTAAGCGGTATTGCTGGAAAAGGAGGCCGGAGACCAGGTCGGGAAGGGACCTGAACACCTGTTGAGTACCAGTTGTGAAGGGCTTGGCAGACCCATTCTAAGGAGTTTGAATTTTACTTTGTGAACAACAGGGAGTCACCAAATTTTGTTTTAAAGGAGTAAATCCAAGATCAGAATCTGTATGTTAGTATAACGACTCTAATTACAGTGTGGACGGCACATTAAGGGCAAAATGACTGAGGCTGAGTCATCTGGGAAGCACCTGCAAAGTCCAAGAGGAGATAATGATGAAATGGACAACAGGAAATGGATTTGTGAGTTATTACAGAAGGGAACTGAGAGGACCAAGTGGATTTAAAGGAAACAAAGAAGTGAGGGTGAGGAGCAGCAGCTCTGGAACCAGGCAGAACAGGGTCTGGATCCTGGCTCTGAGACATAGTCAAGCCTCTGTTTCCAAAAGGTTCTATGCATCTTCTTTACAATCTCTAAAATCTTCCACTGTTGCCCATCAACCACCATCAGCAAAGTCCCCTTAGCCTCGACTACTTCTCCTGGCACTCCATTCACCTCTTGCTCTAAATAAAGACAGCTCTCTTCTTTCTGCCCCTTCCCAAGTACCACAAGACCTAGAGCAGATGTGAGGAGGCCACAGAACTGAGAGGTCAAAGTAGGGGGTGGACTGGATGTTGAGGAAGAGACAACGAGCCAGGTAAAAATCTCCAGTGCAGGATAAGGGTCATCTGGGGATCCACGGGGGACTGCAGTGAGGATGGAGCAGCTTCAAAGGATCTGGGATTTTGAAAGAATAGAAGAAATGGTTTGGGCATAGCAGCGAAGACCAAGAAGGAGGGAAGCCCTGACAATCTTATGGTATTTATCTCATCAGTCTGATGATTCTCAGTGTGCACCCCTGCTCAGACACCCCTGATATGAACTCATCCTCGACTGTCATCTTCACTTCATTATGCCCCAAGAGCACAGAAACAATCACAGAAAACATCCTCAGGTGTCCATCGACAAATGTGCCGCCTGACTGGCACCCACAGCCCTGCACTCTGCTTCCCTCCTGGTGCAAAAGGATGAGCTGTCCCTGTACCCTGCCGAGTCTGACTCCTCCGCGTGAGCCACACCCCCATCCACTTAAGGGCTTCACGCCTACAGTTCTCATCTCTCTCTTCTACATCATCAATTTCTCCCTCTCTATTACAGTAACCCATCGATATGCAATATCTCCCATGTGCCCCTCCAGCAACTGCTGACAGATGAACCTCCCTAAACAACGGGTAGTTCCTTTGATACTACTCCCCTGTGCAGAAATCTTCAACAGCGCCCACAACCAGTCACATTATGTACAGTCTCCTTCCTGTCACCCAAGGCCCGGCTCTCTCAAGCAACGGACCTCTCTATCCCCATCAACTGCTCCTCGTGTTTCTGCACTCCAGGCGATTTGAACGCCTTGTTTTTTAAGCACACCTGGTACTTTTCGCTTCCATTCTTTTACTCATGTTCCTCCCTCTTTCTGGAATATCCACCTTTCCTCTCCCTCTGCTGAAATCTTAGCACGTAATACAGTTAAGAACACATGTTTAAAATCAGACATTCGATTTCATATCTCAGTGACTTAAGTACTAGTTCTGTAATACTGAGCGAGTTAGTGAAGCTTTCTGAGCCTCGGTTTCCTCATCTGTAATTTGGAGCTGAATAAGGTTCCCCAAATAAGAGGAGAAAGTGAGAAAATCTATGTAAAGTAATGAGCACAGTAGTTTCCCCGGGCCGGGGGGTGAGGGGCGGTTATTCAAAGCAGCAGCTATTATTTTATAATATCCTTTCTCTGTTCACTCTTTCTGGATGCCTCTTCAGACCAAACTCTCCCTCTGCCAACCCCTGCGTTAGCACTTTCCTGCAGTCCACTCCTTTGGTTCTCCATTAACTCCCTCTTTGTTCCTTTAAAGACAAGGACCATCTTGCCCACTTCTGTATATCCTCCAACACCACGCAGAGCTCATACAGGACTCTATAAATGCCTATTGAATCAAATTATCTTTAATTTCCCAGCAGACACATATGATCTTAGCTATGGTGATTTTTATAGCTATTCACTACTATACTGAGGAGGAAGAACAGTCTGGACTTGGGGCAAAGCAATATCATTACCATTATTCTAATATTCCAAACATATCCTTTATCCTAAACCTATTGCTTCAAACAACACAGGAAACAGTTGATTTAAGAACCTTCTAGAACGGATATATATTTAGCTCTGGGTCCACTAACAGGAGTTTGGGGAATCACTTTCATTTGCAGTAAACATTTAATGGCATTAAAAATAATGAATGGAAAGACTATCTCCTTACGGTCAGCTTGCAGAAGGACAACGTGATGCAGGGTCAAGGCCATCCTTTGGGAGTCAATGGTGCTCAGGATCTTGGCAGCTGCGGTCCCCAGCAAAGGCTTCCCGTTGTACAGGGTGTAGTAAGTCAGCTCCGCTGGGTCCTTGGGTCCTGGCACCCGCTGCATCTTTACCATCTTTCAGGAAAAAAGAGGCCATGTTTATAGGGCATCTTGCGTAGTCCCTGCAATCACCTGGGTGATCAGCAGGCTATCTCCTGACTGCTGAAGCCTTCTGTGGCCAAGTAGACCCACAGGGTATATTTTAGACATCAACATTAATGTACTTCCACATCACCAAAACCTCAAGAAGCCCTGATATCGCTGAAGGGAGAGATGGGGAGGAGAAAAAGGTTCTAAAAATATGAACATCTGGAAAGTACAGTTTGAGACTGGAGAGGAAAACACTGAAACGGTGATGTCTTCCAGCCTCCAGAGAACTCTGGCCTCATTTGAAAATAGGCCTTCGCATTAATTCAGGGCATGAATTAGAAACAAAATTTTTCTAATTTCAAATTCCTGCAATTGCCAGAGAGGGAAAAAAATGAACTTGTATGTCTGTAATTCAAAAGATCTCTGATAAAAGCAGTACCTGGAGACTTTTTTCTAAAATCACCTTTGTTGCTTTTTCTCACTGTACAAGTTACATATATTCACTACAGAAAATTTGAAAGTAAAGAAAAGCATCAAGAAATGAAATTAAAAACAATCTATTGAGTTATATGAGTTCTTCATATACTTTAGATATTAGCCCAAATAATAACAATCTATAATCTCTCTACCACAAGCTAATAATGACTATTATCATTTTGGAGTATTTGCTTTTTTCACACAAATCTTTTATTATTTTACAAAATTATTTATCATACTCTGTATAGTATCATATACTGCTATTTTTACTTGTACCCTTAAATGGTCTTAAATATAACAAAAGCAAACATGTTAATTTTTACATTATTTCAACTCACACCTCATAAACTTATTTAGTAAATCCTTTATTCTTAAGCACTTAAATTTTTACTCATTTTTCAGTATTGTAACTAACTACTGATAATCATTATCGATACATAAAACATGAATTTTATTTTTTAATCTTTTATTTTTAATTTTTATTAAGTTTATTAGGGTAACATTGGTTAATACAATTATATAATTTTCAGGTGTACATTATAATTTGACATCTGTATACTCTATTGTGTGATGACCACCCAAAATCCAGTTTCCTTCAGCTACCAAATATTTGATCTCCTTTACCCACTTCGCCCTCCCCCTACCTGTCTATATTTGATCCCCTTTACCCTGTCTACATCTCCCCTCCTCCTTGACCCCCTACCCTCTGGTAACTGCTAGTCCATTGTCCATGTCCCTGAGTCTCTATCTGTCTTGTTCATTTGTTGCTTTTAGGTTTATATCCCACATATAAGTGATATCATGTGCTTTTCTACTTTTTCAGTCTGGCTTATTTCGCTTAGCGTGATTATTTCGAGGTCCATCGATGTTGTTGCAATGGCAGTATTTCATCTATTCTTATGGCTGAGTAATATTCCATTGTATATATGTGCCACAGCTTCTTTAGCCAATCATCTATTGTAGGACATTTCGGTTGCTTCCATGTCCAGGCCACTGTGAATAATGCTGCTATGAACATCGATGTGCAAATATCTTTATGGATAATGGTTTTCAAGTCTTTGGGGTAAATACCCAATAGTAGGATTGCTGAATCATATGGTAGATCAATTCTTAGTTTTTTATAAAACATAAATTTTAATAACGACATAATATTCTATTGTATGTGTGCCTCATACACTTAAGTAACTCTTCATTTTTTAACATTTATGTTGTTAACTTTTCACTACTATAATTAAACATTATAGTATAGTATTTTCTAAAATGTATATTACAGATTATGAGTTTCATGAGATATTGAAAGATATTATAAAAATGTTTATAGCAGCATTGTTCATAATAGCAAGAAAACTGAAAATTTGAAAGTCACTAGCAGTAGAAAGGACAAATGAGTTACAGTATAGTTAGACAATGAAATATCATAAAGTAGTATAAATGAACTATGGCTATTTGTATCAATATGGGCGAATACAAAGGCCTGACATTGAGCAAAAGAAACAAATCAAAGAATGTAAAATTCAAAAACAGGCCAGGCTAAATGATGTCCTGTTTAGAGATACACACACAAATGGGAAAATCTATATGAAAAATACAGGCATGATTTCATACAAAATTCAGAGGCACACTCAACTCTTCCAGAAAGGAAAGAAGCAGATATAATCAAAGAAGCCACATAGAAGGCTCCTGGGGTAAGGTAAGAATAATGTTCTTACCCTTTGGGTTGTGGGTTAGCTCTTCAAACTCTACATATTTTATGCTCCTTTGTATATATGTTACATATGACAATTAAAAATAGATATTCCTACAATACAATAAAAAATCGGTTTACAAACCAATCTGACCAGATACTTCACAAAGGAAGATATCTGAATAGCCAAAAGCATATAAAAATGCTCAATGAGGAAATTCAAGTTTAAAGCACAAGACACCACTATCACCCACTAAAATGGCTAAATAAGAAGGGCCGACAACACCAAGTGCTGATGAGGATGTAAAGTAACTAGCACTCCACATCTGGTTGGTGGGAGTGTAAAATGGTGCACTTTGGGAAAGGATCTGGGAGTTTCTTACAAAACTGACATACACTAACCCTATGAACTAGCAATTCTACTCCTACATACCCAAGAGAAATGAAAGCGTATGGCCATAGAAAGACTTACAGAAGAATGTTCATAGCAGCTTTGTTTGTAATAGCTAAAAACTGGAAAAAAGCCTGGGTGTCCTTCAACAGGAGAATGGATAAACTGTAGAATATTCATACAAAACAATATTATTCAGCAATAAAAAGGAATGAACTGCTAAATAATATAACATGGATGAATCTCAAAAACACTACACTGAGTCGAAAAAGCTTTACACAAAATATACTGTAGAATGCCATTTATATAAAGTTCTAGAACAATCTAAACTGATCTGTGGTAGGAAAATAACATACATTATCAAATATAAAACAGTAAAATAGTACACACTGTTAACTGTAGAACCTATACAGTGACTATCTGTCACTGTACTTTTTTTTTTTTAAACTTTTCTGTGAGAAAATATTCTGAATAAAACGTTGGGGAAATGTAGATATTAAACGCAAGGGTCTCACGGGCTTTGCCATTTAGAAACCATATAATATGTTAAACGAAATTAAGGAGATTTCTTTACTGCAAGTCTTTTTAGAGTCTTTGGTATGCCAATATACCTTGGAAACTGTCGAGAAGGGGCTATGGGATGCAGCCCCATCCAACTGATCTGGCCAAAGGGACACTTGGCCTGAGGGCATCTCACAGGACCATGTTCCAGACACTGTCTAAGAATGACTGCTCTCACCCTTCTGTCTTTGGGTTCACTTCTATTTCTTTGAAATGAATTTTAGGACTAAGTTTGTGGCCATCTAAAAGGTTCTTGTCTAAATTGCTCACTTCCCCTCCAGAAAGGTCCCACCCACTTACTGTATTTCTCTGCATCCTCACCGACATGGGAGAGCATCATTTTACTAGTCTCTGGTATGGGAAAATGGCACCTTGTGGTAATTAAAACTTGCATTATTTTGATGACAAATGGAGGTAAAACATTTAAAAACATTTATTGGTCATATGTATGTATTTCTTCTTTGAACTCAATTTTCAAATATATCCACTAGACATCTTTAAATTCTAGACATCTAAATCTCCATATTCATGAAAGTGGCTCATCTTTTAAAATGATCTGATCCCAAAAGAAAGGCCTCTGTGTGGAAAGATGGTGTAAGCTATGTGGAGTGAAGATTACTTGGAAAATGTGGGCACGTTATTCCTGTCCCTCATGGGAGTGGAGGTGGGGCGAGTGTTACAACCAGGTAGAAGGTGAATGAGCTTTCAAATATCTAAGACTTCAATTTCAATTTATTAGCAGATCTTTCTTACCAAGATTTTTCTGAGGGTAATGCTAAAGATGATTTGGCTATAGCCTCTGTAAATTGGGAATCTGTAGAAATAAACCTCTACTTGCTTTAATCAGACTTTCCTGGCAACTACTGGGGCCAAGCACACTGGATACTCAGAAGGAAAAGGAAGAACATCTCACTGGGCCCTTTTCAACCTGGAGAATGTTGTTAGATTTTTAGCTTTACTCATCACACCAGGATTGTAGGGTAAGTCCTCTCCTCGTCCCTCGGCCAAGGCAAATCCCATTTCACTGTCATCTGAGTGACTTCCTTTTTGTTGCTTGGAGAAATGTGAATTTTAGGGCTCACATGGAACCCACAGAGGGAAAATCACAAACCTGATACATGAAATTAACCATCGCCTTACCTCAGGATGAGGCTGTCACAACCCACAGAGACATTTAGAACCACAGCAACATCCAATAGGACAAGGGACCAAAATCAACCACTATGGTTGAGAGACCTGGAGTAAGGATGCTGACTCAAGCAGGAAAGTGTATTCCAGAAGATGGGTTGTTTGTACTTTGAAGACTACCCAAGGACACAATCTGCAGACAGATTATGGTAATGTCTGTAACTTCCTTTAAAACCTTCCTCTTAGATAGTGTGATACTATGCCTGTGAGTTTAGGTTAAGTTCCATCCTCCATGTGGTCAATTATCAACCAGGAGCTAACACGCCAGGGACAG